ATTCCCACATTTTCTTCTTTCCAGAAAATATTCCGATCACACAAACACGAACAAACGCGTCCCTCTCAGCGTCGAATGAATTTCTCCTTCTTTTTCATATATTTATGAAAGTAGCACTCATGTCATAGCTAACTAAATTTGCCATTTTTAACAAAATTATGGAACTTCATTTACTGCTGAGACAATGATTGCGTCTCAAACCTGGTAAGGTTCAGGTTTGTGTATGAAAACACACTTTGGAATGCTTGTAGCATTAAAACGAATTGATTAAAATACATGGGAAAAATAATGAAAGGTTACATCGAACAGAGATCGATAAGAGCAAAGAAACAAGTAAAAATTCGAATAAGTATCCATAAGAGAAGAGTGGAAATAGAAAGGATCGAACGCTAGTTTAACTTGATTAAATAAATCCAGTATAACTAATATTTACCCATTACCCCTCCTGTTCGCATTGACTGGGTTTGATATGATTAATGGACCTACCAGGGGAGAGAATCATATTTTGCATGATTTGTTTAATTCTACATGAAATTATAGATAGAGTTAAATTCTGGGTATTGAGCCACTTGTCAGCATCAGGGCAATCTGGATTTCAGACACTTGATATTGATTACAAGCAAGCGACAAAAATATAGTAATGCAGATGGATGCTGAGAATATCATATGCGCAACAACGAAGTTTTAGAGAAAATTGAAACAAAGTAGACCCTCAGGAAGATATAGTTAAAATTTCTAGGGCACATAATGAAGAAAGAGTCCTCGGAAAATTTGATACTCACAGGAGAGATTTGAATGCAATAGAGGCAGAAAAAACAACGCATAACCTGCTTAGTGAGCTTGAGTAAATGAATGGCGAAGCAAGCTTTAATAGAGATAAGAAAAAGAAAAAAAATATTAAGAGCTGCAAAGTGCAGGAAATTGTGGAGAGTCATGATCGCCTACATGCTGAAGTGGCACGGCACTTAAATGGAGAAGAAGCAGTGGTACAAGAAAATGCAAATTGTCTATTTAAAAGACAATCGTAAGGATAATTGAGAAGATACTGCCCGGATGCTGCGGCAGACACATGTGGGTCAAAATATAAATATACAAACACAGAAACTCAATCAATCTACTGCAGCCACAATTCCCTCCACATTTCGATTCGATAAGTCATTCATAGCCTGACAATAGACAAGCGTTTATTAGCAATGTGACGTGGCTTCCATTTGCTTTTTCCATACATATTTTCATGATAATCGTTCTGGTGATTTTTCCTCTGTGGCAGCTAAACTTTAAGAATTTTAGCGCAGTACTAGATTGGCAGCAAGGTCTCGTATTTTACAGTTGAAATTGCTAGATGCAATCCTAACTTCTATGCTAACAGTTTCTTTTCTCGCACTTCTCGCTTGTGGAACTCTCTTCAGACTTCTTGCATTCCAATCAACTTTGATCTTCAAAAATTTAAATGCTATGTCAATCGTTATACTATGTCTTCTTAATTCTCGTTCTTTTATTTTTCTTTTCCCTTAATAATATTTTTCTTATTCGTATATTATTTCACACACAGTAAACGCATTCCCGATGCGTCTTAGTAGCTTTATTTGCCTTGGTATGAAATGATATATATATATATATATATATATATATATATATATATATATATATATATATATTCATTTTTGTAGTTCACTGCTACTAACAAAGAGGAATTCTTTCTCCTGATGATGGCAATGTTAGCCGAAACTAGTCGAGGAATCTAACTGAAATAATAAAAACGAAAGAATATTAATATACAACCCAGTGTGTCTGAAGATTTTATTTCTTTTATATTTTTTATTGTTCAAAACATATACATGTGTGTGTGCGCGCGCGTTTGCGTGCGCTTGCGTGCGCGCGCGTGTGTGTGTGTGTGTGTGTGTGTGTTAAAAAGAAGATAAACCGCAAACTTTTTTGATTGAAATGTGAATTTATCTACTTTTTAAAATATATACTTTTCTCTCGTTGGAACCACTATAACACCTTCCCAACACACACACACACACACACACACACACACACACACACACACACACACACACACACACACACATATATATATATATATATATATATATATGAATTATCGCTCTGCTTAATTGTCTGTTTTTCTCACATGCTCTGATACTCAGTAACCTCTTGCGTCTTAGTAACTTTATTGCCTTGCTTGAGGTGAAATGATTAAAATACAGTGTTTTAGAACATTAATTAGGCATTCTATTCAAAGGCATTTCTTTTCAGTCAGTGAAAAACAAGAGATCGAATAATCTTCTACCAGTTGTCAGCTACTGCGACACTAATAGTCCTCACTGTTGATCACAGTCGTTCGAGTCAATAGCTGCTGGCGCAGAATATTCTCATGTCGCCAACAGACAGTTCATAAAATGATGCAGTTTCGTCAGCAATTATTTTACGGCATAATGAACAATATCACTAACTCAGAGTACCCCGGTAATACCCTATAATATCAATTCATTATATGCGAAATGCGGCACCCATTTCATGCCGGACCCATTTCATGCCGGACCCATTTCATGCCGGACCCATTTCATGCCGACAGATGGATGCATATAAAGGATTCAGCGCGTTATTCTGTTTTGTTTTTTTCTTCTTGACTTTAAAGGCTTACGGCCGTATCACGTTGAAATACCGGTTCTCGTACGATCAATGAAGCAAAGTCGAGCCTGGTAAGTATTTAGATTGATGGCTGCTAAATAATATCAGATGCTGTAAACAAAATATTACCTCTATGGTTGAATAAATTTATATACAGATATCTGAATATAGTCTTTGAACGTTAAGGACATTTGTTTCAACCGTACATAAAATGTAATAAAAAAAAATTATTTTCTTTTAGTAAATTAAATTAATAGACATTTTTACAAATTTTCAAGATTAACTTCATGAACCGTCATATTACCATTTTCTAAGATTTTTGCAGTTTTTCGGACAACTTCATAACTCTGCCAAGACCACATCTTTCTTAAGCAATTGCACTAGGTACTTTTTACAGATTATCAACATTTTTCATTAAGAGAATTCTTTAAAACCGGAATAAAATTGTACAATAGCTTTTGTATGTGGTAGCGATGTAAAAAAGAAAAAGTCCGAGCTAAACTGTAACTGTTGTCACCAAAAGAAATACGAGGTCGAGTGTTTTCCCGGTGGAATATCACGCCCTTGCTGTAATCTAATTGAGGATGTTTTTCGGTTGGTATAATTGAGATCAATACTTTTTTTCAAGTTACCGGTTTGTTTCCCAGAAAGCAATTCTTAAGAGTGGACTCTTTTCCAGTCCCATCATATATACAGCATCACATTCTTTGGATAAAGACCTTTAATATGGTTAGTAGCGGTTCACTGCGCTTACCTTATATCTTATATTCTACCTGGATAGTGAGTCCTGTTCCCATTAGGATGTCTAATGTAGCCAGACCAGCTTAAGCTTAGAATTAATCGAAATACAAATACTCCGTGACAAAGAAACAATAGGAAATTTTAATTCAGTGTTTACTGGAAAGTTTTTTTTTGTTTTGTTTTTTTTGTTTAACGGCATATCAACACCTCTATGGGTTATTTAATGCCGAAATCTAAATATTTTGAAAGCAATTGCATGCCTTCAACCACAGACGAAATGTATTGTTGATCATTTTTTTATAAAATGTATTTTTGGTAATTTTATATAAAAATGTTTGCTGATATTTTTTACTATAAAAAAGTATTTTTATACTTTCATAGGGTTTTGTTTCTGTTCGAGAGTCCATTATTTGTCTGTATCTGGGGCCCTAGCAGTTTTATTTTTTACTTATTTGTTTAGCTGCATATCAATACATTATGAGTCATTTAATTACAAAATCTAATTTTCTTGGGCGCATTAGAAATTTTATTTACAAAAACTATTACTGATAATTTCTTTTCAACAATGGTAATTTTTTTTTTACAAAAATGTATTGCCGGTAATCTTTTTACAATAAAAATGCCTTGCTTGAATTTTTCCTATATAAAAGTATTTTAATACTTTCATAGTGTTTCATTCCAGTAAGGGGTTAAATTTTTGCCCATTGCTAGGACCCTAACAGGTGCTACACACTAGGTTTGGATGAACCTGGGAACTCCAGCAATTAAGAGGTGGTTCCACGCACCTCAAAACCTCCCGACTAGAGGCCTTGTTGTCGGGTGCAGTTTATCGTCATAACCAGGACTTATACTGGAAAGTAATGTCACATTTTTGAAAATGAAAACAGGTTCAAATAAAATACTGAATTTATTTGTTAAGAAAAGAATAATTTATATATTCAACTAGTGGTGCCCGTGCTATCAAAAATGACGTGTTATTTTTTATCCACCACAGATATATTGTTGATAATTGGCTTCAGTGAACAGAAGATTATTTAGTCCAGAAATGTTTTGTGCAGTTCTTGCATTTCTCACGGCGACAGTGTTCTAATTCCTCATCCTGTTGAGTTACTCTTCTGTTTCTTGTCGAATACGTTCTTCCTTTTGGATTCTTATATTTTCTCTTCTTGCGTTAGATTCGTCCTCTGTTTTATTTTCAGTCCTTTCGGCTACAGCTTCTCACATAACAGCTCTTCTTGCTTTTGCTTATTCCTCTATTTCCTTTTGTCTTCTTTTCTCGCTCTCTCTCTCCCCGCCCCACACACAGGTCTGCTCTCCTCCTCATATTACCCTCTCCTTCTATCTCATTAGTTCGCTTCTGAGCCCCGCGTCCCCTGAGAATATATTTGCCCATCAGCCTCCCGCCATATCTCTATCTGATCCTGAGACAGACGTAATCGCTGCCTTCTTTTTCCCTCTCATTCTAATCTCCTCTTTTCTTCAAGGGCATTTTCCATTTTATGATCTCCACTGGACAAAATTCTCTTAAATGCACAAAACAATGTGAAACGTAAAGAATTATTTAAATTTAATTCTATATTTATAGGACAAGTTGACTCTTGGAATACCAATACAAAAGTAAAAGATATTAAAATAATATGAGAACTTGTACTTACACTTATAATATTATTACTAAATTTATCTCTTAATAGCTATTCAGATAAAATATATAGTCACTGATGTATTTTTTGGTAATGTTAATATGAAACATCGTGATATTGTTTGAAAGTAATGAAAGCAATGGTATCTATGATTCACTGATTACTCTTAGTATTATATAAATTGCTTCTTACTCAATATCTTTTCATGTTAGAAAAATGTGTGTGTGTGTGTGTGTGTGTGTGTGTGTGTGTGTGTGTGTGATTGAATAAATTACAGGCATTATATCTGATAAATTTTAACAAAATCCATTCATACCCACGAATAACCTTCCGTGTATTGATGTTAAAGAATGAGAGAAATGTGATATAGCTGTTTAAACTTATTTCATTTTCATTTCCCAAGTGTATTCGTTTATTTTTCCAAGATCATCTTCAGGGGTGCAAGTAGTACAAAACTACGTTGTTCATTAATATGAGTATTTATACAAAGTTGTGCGAATAATTACATAATGTCTGTAATTTATTCAATCAGACATGCCTAAAAAAGAATTTACTGCCTAAATACACAAATTTTAAACATATATATATATATATAATCAAGGTTATTTATACGATACAGTGCTCAATGGACAAGGAAAACGATGAACAGAGCCATGCAGTTGTGGACAGAATTATTCACGCCTTTTCCATAATTACAACTAAAGCTGTAATACCTCAAATTTTCAGTGAAACTTCACGTGCATTTTTTCACAAATTATGAAATAATGGAATTGAAAGAATGTGCAGTGATGCCAACCACACAATTTTATTTTAATATCAAATAGTAATACAAAAAACATTTTACATAAGACAAACTTATTGTACCTCTTGGTAATTGTGTAACCTTTATACTTGATTATTGCTTTTAATCATTTTTGATAGTTCCTTTCAAGTTCACTACACATGCCAATAGGTGTTTTGCTGTATTCTTCCTGTGCAATAGCCTCTAGTTCCTCCAAATTCAAAGGACGTCTTTCTCTCAAATTTCTCCAAATATGCTTCTAAAAGGTTCACGAATTATTCGGAAATAAATACGGAATCAACTATTTATGGTAAATTTAGTAAGTACTTGCAAATATTCGCATTTCCTTAGACAATATGCAAATATTCATAAGGGGCAAATAATTCTATGCACATCTGTACATAAGCATAAAGGTACTTACTAACACTTTCACGCAACCAAAAGTTTCATATATGCCAATATTTGGTATGTCAGCACAATCATCAGGTGATCAGGAGATGCAAGACAGAAATGGCGACGATATATATATATATATATATATATATATATATATATATATATATATATATATATAATGAGTTTGCTATGCCTTTAAAACCAAGTAAATTTTAAAATAAGTTACTCCAAAATTCGCTTGAGGATGAAATGTAACTACTGTCTTTAATTTAATTACAAATTAAATTCTAAGCTTTTAGCTTCCATTTTGAAACATGGATTTAGAACTGTGTAGCGAAAAAAACATATTTTAAATCAGTTAATTTATAATATTAATGCTCTGTAACTTTACATTGAGCACTATTTTGTAAAAATAAAAATATCTAAAAACACCGGATTATATATATTACTGTTCTTTCTTTCTTTATATATATATATAAATATATATATATCGCTCTCCAGTGGTTTAACATCGCCCGAAGAGACACATTTGGGGTGTTGAAACATGATTGTAATCGTGTAGCGATTTTTAACTTGTTTTTGTTTGAATATCTTAAAATAAATAATATTTAGCTCTACTCTGTACTGAGTCTTCTTTTCAATTAGATTTTACGTACTGTGGACTTATACTCCATTTGTGCCATTTCACCTGGAGATATATATATATATATATATATATATATATATATATATATATATATATATATATATATATATATATATATATATATATATATATATATATATATATATATATATAATTTGTGCGTGTGTGTATATTTGCTGAAGTTTGTATTTAAGTTACCGCTTCTTCGTGTGTATTTATATAGCACCTTCTTCTGACCAACTAATACCTCTCTCTGGGCTGACAGTAGGGTCTAAGATATCCATCTGTGAAGAGGCAAGCTACTTTTGGCCAACATTCCATCCACTTAAATTAGCTATGTAACATACACATACACTCTCTCTCTCTCTCTCTCTCTCTCTCTCTCTCTCTCTTCTCTTCTCTGCTCTCGTCTCCTCTCCTCTCCTCTACCTATTCCTCTGCTGAATGACGTTTATCTGACTTTAATTGCCTCTTTGTCCTGTTTACAGAATATTTTGTTATGACCAACTGCTATTCTTAATTTAAATACGTTATGGTAGGCTCGGCCGGGGAAACATGGCGACTATTTATTCCTAAAAAATAAGTATAGAAGCGTCGTTAGAGAAAGAGGTTAAAATGATTGTTTTTAAAATGCTCTTTTGTAACTAAAGACACGCATTGCTGCTACGGGATTTTATCAATATGAGCTTTTATATTCAACAAAGATGACGATATTAACACGTACGTGTGGGTAGTGCACTGGATATTGAGGTGGAAAGTAAAATCAGCGAATCGAGTTCAAATTCCAGGCTAATGTAATGAGCTCACCTTCGCACAAATAGTTCGTAGAATATAAGGACAATGCTTCATTTTCGAGTATTGGAAAAGGCTTGAATCTGTCTCTTCTTCTCTCTAGCTATGGCTTTAATAACAGATTAGACTATGGTTCTTTAACCCTGTGTGGCAACAACTCTAAGAAACAGAAAACTTTGGAAAACTTAGAGGGGAAAATACTCAAATATCTTTCCCAAGAACTCATGACTATTCAAAAGAATAAAGAAAAGGAAACTATGGAGAGATATGATCGACGATCTCCTGAAAAGACATGGCATTACAAAAAAACTTCAGAATATACATACTATACATATATATATATATATATATATATATATATATATATATATAATATGTGAAAATATATAGAAAATAGGAAGGAACTGGTTAGGTTAATAATCCAAAGTCCCTTAGTATTTTAGTTATTATTTTTAAAAAATAGTGCTCGATACAAAAGTAGAGCATAAATATAATTATTTATTTAAAAATAAGATTCCAAATCATGACACAAGAAGTCCCATGTTTCAAAACAAGATTTGAAAACTTCAATATAATTATTTAAATTAAATTGAGTTAAAATAGCTCTGTTCCATCCTCAAGCGAAATATTTTGGATTTGAGGATGGAACATGGACTTCAATTTTGTTTCGCGATTTTGAATCATATTTTTAAATAAATAATTATATAAATATATATATATATATATATATTTAATTATGAGAAAATTAGAGAAGCAGAAGAGGAAATGTAGAAATCGAAAGAACAAAGAGGGATATACTTCTTCTTCTTCTTCTTCTTCTTCTTCTTCTTCTTCTTCTTCTATGTGCTGTATCCCTTTGGGACGAGAGCGATTATGGATAATCAAAATTTCCTACTCTTTGTAGCGGAAAATAATTTTTTTTGTTGTTCTTGTCTCTCCTAAACCATGTTCCGTTATCCATTCACTCAAGTTCGGTAGGTGCGTTGTTTTCAAATGACATACTTGACTTCAAGCTGTCGTGTGAGTATCAAATTTTAAAAGCCTTATTTCTTCATTATGTGTCCTAGAAATTTTAACTGTCTCTCTTTCTAGTGTTAATTAAACAGGGTGCGATGTGTAAATTGGCGCCCCACTTTATATTTTTTTATTCCGCGTTAATATTTTTCGATTATGTCGACTGCACACTGTACGAGATTCAAAAGGGTGACGTCTGGGATCGAAAAAAATCCGAACATTCGCAACGAACGAACATGTCAGGGTATTTGGGTATCATTCCGTACAATGCAGAATTGGAGTCATTACAAAGTATTTGGGTGTCAATCTTCAATGCAGAGGATTCGGATTTTGATTCGTCATTTCAATTTGGGTGTCAATCATGCAATGCAGGGTATTTGGGTGATTCGTCATGTCAACCTGAGGTCACAATTGCAAAGATTTTGATGAGTCATTTCAGGGTATTTTGAACCTGAGGAAGAAATATTTTGACGAGTCATTACAAGTATTGGGTGTCAAAGTCATTATTTGGGTGTCAATCTGAGGTCAATGCAGAGGATTCGGAAAGATTTTGATTCGTTATTTTCATTTGGGTGTCAATTTGGGATTCAGGAAGATTTTCAATCATTGAATATTTGGGGTGTGAACTTGGGTCAATGCAGAGGATTTGGGAAGATTTGATTCGTCATTTCAGGACATTTCATGGGTATTATTTCAGGGCAATGCAGAGGATTCAATTCGTCATTTGATATTTGGGTGTCAATCTGAGGGCAATGCAGAGGATTTGGGAAGATTTGATTCGTCATTTCAGAGTATTTGGGTGTCAACCTGAGGTCACTGTAGAGGATTCGCAAAGATTTTGATGAGTCATTTCAGGGTATTTGGGTGTGAACCTGAGGTCAATAAGGAGGATTCGGAAATATTTTGATAAGTCATTACAGAGTATTTGGGTGTCAACCTGAGGTCAATGCAGAGGATTCGGGAAAATTTTCACTCGTCATTACAGCGTACTTGGGTGTGAAACTGAGGTCAATGCAGAGGATTCGGAAAGATTTTGATTCGTTATTTTAGGGTATTTGGGTGTCAATCTGAGGACAATGCATAGGATTCAGGAAGATTTTGATGAGTCATTGCAGAATATTTGGGTGTGAACTTGAGGTCAATGCAGAGGATTCGGGAAGATTTTGATTCGTCATTTCAGGACATTTGGGTATATGAAGAGGATTCGGAAAGATTTTTCATGGGTATTGGGGTGTCAATCTCAGGGCAATGCAATTGCA